TGACTTTACATTTTTTGACTTTTCATAAATCACCAAATAAGACTTTATCTCTACTTATATAAGTTATGTTTATACAACTTTTGAAAACTTGTTCATAATTTTTTCTATTGTCATATTTTTTCTTTGTATTTTGAAATCATGTTAACTATCAAGAATTACTTATCCACATAACTACATGTATGTTGGAGTTTGATATTTTTTATTTTGTTTCACTAAATTGTGTTATATATTTTAATTTAATTTTTTGAATAAGCATAAAATTGTATTATGTTTAAATAATATCATGTATTCAATTTTATTTTTAACTAATTAATTTATATCAAATCTATCATTATTTTTTATACTTTTATAAGAGAACAACAAGTTGTAATGAAGATAAATGGACTTTTTTTAACATCTAAATTTAACAACAGATGATTAAAAAATAAAAGTGATAATATCATGGCTATGAGATATACTAAATATATATCACAAGAAAAAATTAATTAATACTGATATAGTACTAATTGATGAAAAGGTAGTAGATTTGTATTTTTCTTATTAAAATTTTCTTATGTTATCTTTTATATGTTGTATGATAGCTAACTAACTTAACTTTTTTTAATTTTCTAATTAATCAATTTTTCTTTTTTATAGAACAATTATATATATGTTTCTATAGAACGGAGTATTTCTTACAGGTTCAACGGTATATTGAAGGAAGGAAAAAAGTAAGATAGATTTGCTATGGTTGAAAATAATCCATTCATGTTACAATTTTGTGCACAACTATTATTAAGGAATCAAAGGATGATCACATAATTTTTTACCATATATTTGAGTTTGTGAAATTTAAAGATTTGAAAAGTTGTTGTAGAAATAATGTCTTAACAGTTATTTTGCTGTAAAATTTTACTAAACTTTGTTATATAATTTATATTTAGTTTATCAATTAATTTTTTAAAATTATTTATTTTATGAGTAAATGTGATTAGAGTGATGATATACAAAAATTTTGTTGAAGAAAAAATAATTGCTCAAGGTAATATTAATACTATGACGCTTCAATTATAAGACATAAGGTATAAACAATTATTTTAAAGTTATTATTAATTGAAAATTTTTATAATTTTGACTAAATCATTTGGAGGGAAAGTAAAGTAAAAGTAATACAATGAGATAATTATATTGCACTATTTGAAAAAATAATAAAAGATAAAATATCTAAAGATTCAAAAATCTATGTTACAATATTCACATCCACTACTATGAAAGAATTTCAAGGTAATTGTATTATTACATTTTTAAATATTTTATTTCAATAAATTATATATATATATATATATATATATATGCTTCCTATTTAATTATAAAAAATATAAGTGTATGTATCATAGGTAATATTTTAATTTTCACATAAAGATTAACAAAGATTTATGTCAATATTGACATATCTAAAGTTACCAATTTTATAGATTCGTTTAGCTATTGAAATTATTTAAAATATCTCTGTTACGTTAATTATTGTTAATTCTTTACTTTTTATCCTAACCACATTTTCAATTATTCATTATTATTTTGTTGTAGGAATTTTAATGATATGCATATCACTCAAAATGTTGATAACATAAGATCTACAGTTATTTCTAAGTTAAAAAATTTCAAAAATATCTGAAATTTTGACAATAGAAAAAACAAAGAGTGATATGATAAATTTAATTTCTTTTATACTTTATTCTTCTTATTTAATTTGTAAACTAATTTTTTAATTAATTTTCATAATATCGTAATTAGTTGTATTGCAATTGTGAATTGATATAAAAATTAATTTTTGTATTAAATAAAATCATTCTTCTCTTTTAATTTCTACTTAAATCTTAATTAAAAATTTTTTAACTACTCTATTTTTCTCTTCTTCTATTATTTTAATTTTTTTTAAATAATTTAATAAGAATTGATATATCATAATTATGTATAACCTATTAATATATATAATATTTTATTTATATTTTATGTTATAATAATTATGATGACAATAGTTGATAAATTATATTTAAAGAAAATTTATTAGAATTGATGGTTATATTATTTAAAAATGACAATAACAATATTGTTGTGAATGACATGACGTTTAATAAAATATTATTAAATTTTTAAATGTAAATTTTTTAGTGATATTAATTTAATTTATTTTATTAAATACTATATATAAAATCTATATTTTAATTTATTCTTCAAATACTAAAATGTACTTTGAATTAAAAAAAAGTTACATTTATAAAGATATTAGTTTATATTACATATTGTTAAGATAAATTTTTAATGAAAAGATAAATTTATATATTTAAATTATTTTATTAATTAGTTTAGAATAATCTATAGTTTGATATGCACTACAAACTCTAAAATTTACTTTTAAATTAAAAAATTTACACTTATAAAATTCTTAGTTTATATTATATATTGTTAAATTAAATTTCTAATAAAAAGGTAATTTTACAAATGAAAATACTATATATAAAATAAAATTAAAATTACTAATATAAATTATAATATTTTACATAATGAAAATAATTAACAGGAAAAAAAATATCTATAAATTTTTTGATTTACTTTTTAATTAAAAATAACATTGTATTTTAATTTAAGTTATATTTAAATTTAAATGATATTAATTTAAATTATTTTAAAAATTAATTTAATATAATCTATATTTTATTATATATTTCAAACATTAAAATTTACTTTGAATTAAAAAAACTACAATTACAAAATTATTAGTTTATATTATATATTGTTAAATTAAATTTCTAATAAAAGACAAATTTACATATTTAAATTATTTTATTAATTAATCTAACATATTCTAAATTTAAAATATATTTTAATATAATTTATATTTTATTATTAAAATTTATTTCTCATGATATAAATCAAAATACATATATTATACGTAAAAATGTTAATATAATACAAATATTTTTTATTAATATAATTATTTATTAAGTTATAATCTTGAAATTATAAATTTTTTAATTTAAAAAAATATTTAAATCAAGTTCACTAAATATTAAAATTTTTCTTCTTCTGTAAAATAAGTTAATATATAAAATATTAGATTATAGAGATATACACAAGGACATCACACAAAAATTATATCTGAAAGCAATAATCAAATCTCAAATATATCAGATCTAAGTTAAAATAGTTAGAACAAATATATTTTTTTAATGACAGTATAATATTTTAATATGTTTATATTAAAGTTATATTTATATTTTTTAAAATAATTACTCACCTAATAAATATTTTAATAATGGTATAATATATATATATATTTATATTAAAAATTTATTTATTTATTGATTTTTTAAAGATGCAACATATTATTAAATCTATTATTTGATCTTAATAAATAGTATCTTAATTTTTTAATTCTATTATTATTACATTCACAAATAATTCTTTGAAATTATTTCATATTTTAAAATCAATTTATTTCTTTGTTTTAATTAGAGAATAATTATAAAAATTATTCATGAATATATTGATATTAATATTATAAACTGTGATAATATTTGTTTATTAATATAATTCAGTTACACACGGATAGATTTTATCATAATTATTTTTATCATTAATATTTTATCATACGAATCATAAATTAAAATTATATTTACTTATTTATTAATAATTTTTTTAAAATTATAGGTGATAAATCAAATCAAATCACTAAACGAGAGCTTATGTATCTCATAAATTTTTAAATACTTTAAATTTTAATGAATTTCTTTTCCATTATTTACAATTCAAAAAAAAGAATGTGAATTATGTTACTTAGAAACATCAATCCTACATTAAGAATATTCAATGGAATAAGACTCCTTATCAATTATAATCATTAAATTATGTTGACAAAACCTGTATTTAATCATATTCAATTATATGTTATATTGTTTAGAGTAACGTAAAAAAAAAAAAACTTATTAATAAAAAGAATAACAAAAATATAAGATATATAAAAAATGTTATATATAAGAAAGTATTTCATAATCTTCTTTAATGTAATTATAGTTAATATAATAATTTTTTTATCATATTTATATATTTAAATTATATATTTTATATTTTAAAATAAATTAATTTAATAAAAATAAAATAAATTTATGTAATGCATGGGCATATTTACTAGTAAAGTATTATACTTAAACTTATTTAAAAAATTTCTATTAAATAAAGGAGATAGTATGAGTTAATTTATATTATTATTTTCATAAATTTATATTATCAAACATTAAATTTAATAATTCTTTATATTTAATGATAAAAAATTAATTTTGTGGATTGATTTATTTTATATAACTATTTTAATATAGTTTAGTTATTTATCAATTTTTATCATTCAATAATATTTTATTTTCTATCATGCTATTTTAAAATATTTTAATAATAAATTTTTAAAATTTTATTTTTATTCTAGTTCTCACTTTTAAATTTTTTTTATATTAAACGGGACAAAACACTCAACAAAACAATATTAGTCTATGAACCTAACTCACTCTTATTTATTTTTTTACAATTCATCTTCATCTAAATACAATATTAAAAAATGCTAATTAATTTCCACTACCACCTATTTCAACTAATAAAACAAGTCTTAAACAAAATAAAATATGTTCTCAAACATAATTATAATTTTTAGACTAATATCTTTAACACTTATCTTAACTATATAATAACATATAAAAATGGATAAATTAAATTAAAAGAACTTACGCAGATGAAACGAGTAACTATGAAATTTTATAAACTAAAGATGGGTGAAAAAGTAAGTGGGAAAATTTGGAGAAGGTAGACCTAAGGGCGAAAAAGTCAACTCGATGGACGCGTACTTCACACTAAGTAGTTACTGGAAAGGGACCCACCATGTTTTACGCGCACATCACTGCGTGGTTGCACTCACATTTCTCGGTGATTGCACTAAGCAAACGGTTAAAGAACAACAAAAAATAAAAAAAGCCAAAACGCGTGGACGTCAAATTCCATTCTCCATTGCAATTCACAATCCCTCTCACATCCGTCTATGCACTCACTGCAACAGCTGACAATTTTCAAAGGGAAAAGAGGATAGAAGGAAACGACGACGTTTAGGTGAACTGTGTCTGCGATGTAAAAAGTCAAGTCACGCGTGTTTATTTTTCTTCTTCAACTCTTCGCTTTTGTGAGTACCATTCTCGTTTCTGAGAGCAGAAGAGAGGAGGAGAGAAGAGCGAGCATGGCCGTTGCTGACCCAAAGCCTCACTCCGAACCTAAGGTCTGGAATTTCTTCAAGCTTCCGTTTCGCCATTCTGCCTCTGCCGCCAATTCTTCCAACACGACGTCGTCTTCAGCTAACATTCACCACCATCACCATCACCACCACAACCCTAATAACCCTCACAATCTTCCCCTTGAGGGTTCCACATCTCACACCTCCAATTCCGTTTCTTCCGTAGCCAGATCACTTCTCCCAACACGACGTCGTCTCAAGCTTGATCCCTCCAACAAGCTTTACTTCCCTTGTACGTATTTTTTTCTCCTTTTTTTTATTTCTTTATTTTGCTTTGTTATTGAAATTAGGTGATTTTTCTTTTTGTGTCTTATGTTTGCATGCAATTTAATAGTTGCTTTGATCATGATCTAATTTGGGTCTTCGATGTAATTTCTATTTATTGAATTTAATTGCAATTTAATACGGGTGGTTTGCGGCTTTAATTAGACTCTCCTAAAAATGGAAGCTTTTAAATTGGGTAAAGATAATTGCATGTTACTCTCGACATGGCTTCAAAATAACAGTTATTTATTTCGTGTTGCATGTGGTTTTTAATGCTGCTGTTTCCTTTCTTGTATGTTCGTTTGTTGTTGCTGATCACACTCGAAGTATTTCCACAAAAGAAAGATTTAAAGCTCGTGGTTTGGGTTTTGGAATGAAGATAGTTTTTCAATTTTGTTAGCTGTTATGATTTTGGTTGTTATGCCTTTTTTTTCTTGTGGGTGGTGGTATTCTAGAGTTGGTAACTGTGAGTAAGTTGTTTACTGCTTAGGCGGAGTGAATATGGATGTGATGATGTGAATGAATTGTTCCCACAAAACATTTGACGTTAGTTCCAGGGCAAGTTTTGTTCATCTCAGTGATAAAATTACTTACGATTTTAAAAAAAGAGGGATTTTTTTTTGCGTTTCATTATTTTGGTTATTTATTGTTGTTAAATAATTTACAATTAATTTCTTGCTTCTCTTCTCTCTCTCTCTCTCTATATATATATATATATTTCATTTTCTCTGTATTATGCATGTAAGTTTGAATGGTAGCAATAATACCTTAACTTGCATGCAGTGAAAGTTACTAACCGAATTATCAAACATTTGGCTTTCTTGCGAATAAGTTAAATTTGCATGCCTATGATATCAATCATAAGTTATGCTTTATTGAAAGTGTTAATGGTGTGGCAACGATAAATTTTAAAGCAATAGGTCAAATAATGGAGCTACATGACAAATAAGATAGAAATTTCTCTTTGCTTCTCTGGCCTTTTCCTGTGTCAGCTCTTGTGGGTGCAGAAACACATAGGCAGACTGTCTCACAATGATATGTGCTTGTTTCATGCGTGTGCATGTATGTTTCTGAGTTAATGACTTCATGCATACTCAAGGCACAGTTTTTATCTTTCTTTTTTTATAAATGCTTTATTCTAATGTTCCTTATGACTGGTTGATTTATTTATCCTCGTTATATGACTTTTCTCTTATTTCCTTGCTATCTTGTGTAGATGAGCCGGGCAAACAGGTTAGGAGTGCAATCAGGATTAAAAACACCAGTAAATCTCATGTTGCTTTCAAGGTATAAGGAAACATACGCTCCCTTTTTTCCCCTGTTTTAAAATTTTCTTTTCTCATTTGCAATTTTTGTTGTCGAGGTACTTCAATTGACTCTTAATGTCTATTCTTGTTGTTACTATGTGTCACAGTTTTGCAGTAGAATAATTCATTTTTTGCTTTATAAATTAATAAGATCACCTATGATTCTAAATCAGTACCAGAAACAACCATCTATTCTCACTAGTTTTCTTTGTTTATCATTTAATATATGTATGTTTAGTTTCAAACAACTGCACCCAAAAGCTGTTTCATGCGTCCTCCTGGGGCTATCCTTGCACCTGGTGAGAGTATCATAGCAACAGGTAACAAAATTTGATTTCTTTCAATATTCCTTTTGTGTGTAGTGTAACTAGAGATCCTTGTAAATTATTTTATCTCACGAATTTCCATTTTGCTTGCTAGTGTTCAAGTTTGTCGAGCAACCAGAAAATAATGAAAAACCTGAAAAAACTGGACTCAAATTTAAAATCATGAGCTTGAAGGTGAAAGGATCAATTGACTATGTCCCTGAACTGGTTAGTTAATTTTATTTTGGCTATAAACTCAGTTGTTATGCTGCTGTCGATTTTATTTTTGATACTAATGTTTTCTTGCCTGCCTTCGCCTTTTTAATGCCCCTCCTTATTATCATGGGCATCTAACAATCTTGTGAATGTATATCACACACATACACATACTCTATAGAAAGCATTTATTCTACTGCGATAAATATTTTGTTTCTTTGGTTTTAGTTTTAGTTGTTTGAAGGAGACGTATTTTCTTTGGTTTTCATTACTTTGTGTATATAAATTTTGTCATTTTAACCATTGAAGACTTTATAGCCTTTTAGAATATTAATGGGCTAGAGATTTTTATTATGATTAATAATTAGAAGGTTTACTTTCATTTGGTTGCTTAACTCTGTCTCTCCCTCCCTTTCTCTCTCACACACTCCACAAAAATTTGTGCACAATCAAAATTTAAGTTCTTCTGTTGTATATGCTTGGGTTTTACTTTTCATTTCAGCCACCCTAGTGTCTGTTTCTCTGCTTGATGTGAAGATATCCTCCAAATCATGGGATTTTATATATATCTTTGTTTTTAAATGCAAGTGTTTTTTTTCTCCCTGGAAACAGTTTGATGAGCAGAAGGACCAAGTAGCAGTGGAGCAGATTTTGCGAGTTGTTTTTCTAGATCCCGAGCGTTCCAGTCCTGTGAGTACTGAGTTTTGCAGTATACATTTTTACTTTAAGTCAATTGTTCATGCTTGTTACCTGTTTCCTTCTCCGTTTCTCTTTCTGCACTTAATGCATGCATTGCTTTGTTGAGGTTGAGACATTCTGTATCAGCTATTTGATTTGGTGTTCATAAGATGTCTGTATATGATACATTCACCGATTGCATACTACTTATGAGGATCTATTATTTTCTCATTTAGGCTTTGGAGAAGCTGACGCGACAGCTGGCTGATGCTGATGCTGCCGTTGAGGCACGTAAGAAACCTGCAGAAGATGCAGGTCCTAAAATTATTGGGGAAGGGCTCGTCATAGATGAATGGGTCAGTCTGTTTACTCAGCTTTTGAATCGTAGTTTTCCTTGCATTATGTTATCTTGGACAATGCTTCATTCATCAATTAACAATCTATGATTATGTTTTCAGAAAGAGAGGAGGGAAAGATACCTCGCAAAGCAACAGGGCGAATTGGTAGTAGATTCTGTATAGGGCGTTGGTCTGGAATATCTATATGGTTAAATAGGAAATGGCATTGCAGCCAAGGAAAATGTTATCTTGAGAGAAACACTTATTATCACAGCATCATTTACTTAGGAAAAATTCGGGTGAATGGCAAGTGTCCTTTGGTTAGAAACTCTGCGTGGGTGTGGTGATCACTCTCTATGTAGATAACTGGCATTTTGTTTTTAAGCTTTTTTTTTTAATTGTGGGAATAATATTTTGATGGATTGATGTAAAATAGTTTATTCGAGTTCTCCTGTGATCAATGATTTGCTGGCAATCCGTTTTGCTATGATTTCATTTCGATGCAGATGGCTGAGATTCACGACAAAATAAGATATTAATTTTATTAGTTAGTTTGATTACTGGTGTTGCCATAATCTTTGGTGTTCTAATTTTTAGGATTATGTTATGTCGAATTAATCTTGTGTACTCCGTAATGTCCAAAGCGTAGCAATAATACGATTTCTTGTAATTTTTAAATAAAGGAAATAAAAAATCATGTTAGTGTCATGGTTTTAATGGAAGAGATACATAACATATCGAGGACTGAATGGAGAAGCAGCGCCATAGTTGTTTCAGTGAATGTAAATGATTAGTAGCAATTATTTGAGATGTATTATGAAGTTATTTATGTATCTTCACTCGCAGATTAGCCTTTTAGAATAGTCCGCTACATAGTATAAGGGTATTTATAATTAACTGATCTAAAAGTTTAGATTTTTTTTTGTGGTTTAATAAATTAAATCTTAGCACAAGGTCTGAATGATTTATATTTGTAGGTCCCATAAAAAAGGAGGAGTAAATAATTGTCTTTTCTAAACGAGTTTAAATATATTTTTTGTTTTTATAATTTATCTTAATTTTGATTTTAGTTTTTATACTTTAAAGGTTAAATTTTTGGTTTCATAATTTTATAAATTTAAGTTTTGATCTTTATAATTTTATCTTGTTTTTGTTTTTGTTCTTTTAATTTTATTCTTCTAAAGTTTAGTCTCTACAGTATACTAAATGTTTACTAAAAATAATTGTTTTGTGAGGTAATGAGGATTGAAACTTTCTTTAAAAAAATTATATGAACGAAAAATTGAACTTTAAAGCTATATAGATCAAAACTAAAATTGATATAAATTATAAAGACAAAATGTATTTAAACCTTGGTAAGTATGCTTACTTTCATATGCTTTCAATTTCTCCTTCTTCCATTTGCCGTCAGATTGGAAATCTCTTTTTTTTTTTTTTGGGTCAGGTCAGTTTTCCTAAACCGAACATCTGGTTTTACTAAATCATATAGGCATAATGGATATTATGAACTTGGTAGAAAAACAGTAACATTGCTGCTATAGTAATGCTATCGAATTTAAAACAATACTGTAGTCTGTATACCAATACTATCTAGTACGAAAGTCTTTAGATAGAGAATAAAAAGGACTACTTAAGATTGTTCTTTGAATAATGTCACGACAAATTTAAATGAATAGGCAAGAGAATATGCATAAAAACTAAAACGAGCAACGTTACGTACTTACATATTGGTGGAATAGATTATTCTGGTGCAAGTCTTGTTATACACCAAAAATAAATGTGGTACAAGCCTTCCAGAATTTCTTTTGGACATTTCCATATAAATTTCTTGCCTGTTAGAAAGTTAATTAAGTAGTTGTGTTTGAATAAAATTACTTACAGTTGAAGTCTCCGTGATAATCTTCTGAGTATTATTGAGTAGTTGACACTTACAATCGAAGTCTGTAATGCAATAATCTTTTTTAATTAAACCTCCCTTACTCTCCTCAAAATGGCAGTAGTTTCCTAGTAACATTGAGGGTGTCATAACTTATATATCCATCTATTTATTTATCTACCTATATAAATATATATGTTTTTTAATAAAAAAGAAAAAAGTTAACTTCAAAGGATAATTTAACTCAACTGAAACTACACTTCATGTACCTTAGTTATGAAAAATACAATATCAGAGAGGAAGAATTCTAATCATCAGCAATATTTAATATGCTAATCTTTTTCTTGTCTAAGACAAGCTTATAGTAAATTTTTCAATATGGAGGGAGGAATAAGAAAGCAGAAAATGGATAGAACACATTGCAAGAGATTGAACCCACTCATTTACAATTCACACCCAACAACTTAAGTAACTGAACTGACTCTAGAGGATTATTATGCTCATCATAGTTTTAAATTGCAGTATAAGACCATTATGCTAATTGATTATTAACTTAATCGTAAACTTGCACGTGACAAGCTATCTCTTCAATCTTCATGCGTAATTTAGTTGTATTTATTAAAATTCAATTTCGAGACTATAAATTAAACTAAAACAACTCTATCAATTAATCTACGCGTTTAATAGTAATAGTTACCTCATATTTTGTACGTGATTAACATGTGTATAACTTTATTCGAAGAAACATTGTGAAATTTTGTGTGTGCATGATCTGACATGGTGATACAATTTTGGTCAGCATCATGACCCTATTTTGCTTGCCACCCAATGATTGCACTGAAACAAGGAGGGCCGGTGAAAATGGGTCAGGGATTACAAGTTTGGGCTTTTGCCAATGTATTAGAATGGGCTTTTTTTAACAAAAAGAGAATGGGCTTTGTTTGCTACAATTGTTATACTGTCTGAAAATACGATACATAGGTTGACCGAACCGGTTAACTATTTTGATTAAAAATAGCTCATTACTTTTGAGACCACCTTTGGGTCCAAAAGGGAATAATACTTTTGAAATCTTATTTTGGAAAGTGCTAGTTAATGTAATCTTAAATTTGAAGAAGTATTATATATCTTCTTTAAATTGAGAGTTATAATTTTCTTAATATCTTAAAAATTAAAGAATATTTATATTTTTAAATAAATTACTAAATTTATTATTAATTAATATAAAATTAACAGTTATAATTATTTTACATTTATTCTAAATATTATTGGACAGGAGTTGATTTTCATGAAAATGACGTAGGGAAGCATCTTGTATGCGGGTGCGTGGGAGACATGGTAGTCCCATCTTGTATGAGGGCCCTCTAAAAGAAATGGAATATGATACCCACAGAAGAAGGGGAAAAGAGAGATAATGAGTGTTCAATAAGGAAGAAATTAATTCAATTTTACATATTCTATCTTATCCAAAAACACATCCTTAAAAACATTAGTTGAGGGAAAAACTGTCACAAAAGTAAGCCCCAAAATAAATGGTAAAGTGTTGGGTCTCGTGCTTTTCTCCTTTGCTAAGTGCAAAAACTGTGACTGAATCGACCGATACCTCTCCTTTTTTGGCTCCCAAGATTTTGTTCCTTCTTCTTCTCATGAGTTCTGAATAATGAAATAAGATATGTTGCATCATTGGTTCATTTCATTGTCACACTTGTCCACCGAAAGGTCTTACACTCTCATGATTACATAAAAGATAAAATGGAAAAGAAATTGTACTCAAAAAGCATGTGAAAATTGATTCTTCTTCACACCCCGCTAGTGCTCCCCCTCATGTTCCCCATTTCACAAAACAAGTGCGCTCCACTGTGCCTTAGATTTCAGCTCTAAATAGGTTTTGGACCAAAATGTGGCTTCAAAATTTCCAACAGAGTAATTTGTCTTTTTTTTTAATATCAAAAGTATTTCATATTCCACCCACAAAGATTAATCTCATAAAAATTGTCAATTTTTTAAAATAAAATCTTTTTTAACAAGTAAATCTCTGTATCAGTTTTTGAATTTACGAGCTTTTGATACACAGGTCTCTAGGTTTTTAAGAAAGACTAGTTAATTATTAACTTTATCAAATATTAAATATATTAGTTCAATTAACAGTTTTTATCATAATAATATTAATTTTTGTGTAACTTATTGCCTTGTAAATCAAGAAAGCATCTTATACCCTTTCACACATGGAGCAATTAATATCATTAATTTTATATTAATAAATAGTGGAGCTACTAATTTATTTAAAAAAAAACATAAATACTTTTTAATTTTTAAAATATTAAAAGAATAACAACAGTTAATTTAAAAAAAGTATACAATATTCTCTTAAGTTTATAAATATCATAACAAACACTTTTTTTATCGTCAAAACAATGTCATTTTTTTTATCTCAAAATGACAATGTTTTCATTCCTTCTCCACCCTTGATGTTCTAGTCACCTCCATCGTTGCATTCCTTCTCCTCATTGACGTATTTCATTCTTCACTCCCTTTTCTCTTCTTATACCCCTTGTCGTGGTTGTCTTGTTAGACTTCTTCTTGCCCCGAAACCCCACCTCATCCCTTGTATATAGTGTGCATTTAAGCTTGTCTCATATCATTGGTATAATGGTTATTAATTTTCAATGTCAAACTCATGCCGCCAGTTAGAAAACTGATGAATAAGAGAAAGGCAAGACTAAAGCTTGGGTTAGTAAAAATTTGTAACAATACGAAGAAGATGAAGGAGGTGAAGAATGAGAAGGAAGAGAAATTTTAGCATACTTGTTACCATCAATTTTCTTCTGTTCTTCTTTTACTTTTGACCCTTCCCTTACTTTGGTTATAGACACAAGTTTATAGTAGTATAACTTCAAGGAGAGAGCATTGCTTGCGCAAACTACTATAAGGAGTTGAATTATATCAACATGACTTTGAGGAGAGAGAGGATTGGGAAAGGAAAGTTTTAGGAGTAAGTAAATTTAATAAAGTAAAAGGAACAAAGATGTAACAGTGATGGCTGAAATAATGTGATTAAGAAAGAAAAAAAGTGTTAAGAAATAATTGTGATGATATTATTTTTGGTTTTTTTATAAGAAACAAAATAAAATATTTTTTTAATTTTTATTATAAGAAACAAATGATAGATTCAAGATACATTAATTGTTAAATTTTTTTATATATTTTTTTATTAGTATAATTAAATATAAAAATTATTAACTATACTATTTAATATTATGGATATTCTTAAAATAAAATTTATATTTATAAAAAACATAACTGATTTAATTAGTTCTGATAATATAGTCTTTTATTTCTTATAAAAAAGACCAAAAGTAATATTAATAAAAATCAAATAAATTAAGCTTTAAAATTATGTGAATGAGATCATTTTAACATTTTAAGTATTTCATAACGATAAAAGTTAACACAATTATAATAAAAATTTGTTAATTAAAATTAAATATCTCACATTTGATAAATTAAGAACTAATGTCTTAAAATATCAATTTACTTAATAGTCACAAAATCAAGCATTAATACGAAAGTTTACTCCTTTGTCAACATACTTAATGAATTCTATTTACCAATTATGCCCAAATTTATTAGTCAAACAAGACAATCATTTTGATGCCAAGTTCATTTTTCGTCTTACAGCGCTTTATTACAATAGAGAAATTTGGGAAAAGTGAGAAATTGCCTACGATTTTCTGTCCATTTCTGGTTGGCTTACATACACTCAGTGATTTTTCAAGTGGCAGTTCCAACATGTCTCCCACAAATATGATTGAATCAGCATCTAATAAATTGGTTGTTAGATTAACAGTGGACCTTCTTCAAATACCTTCTGCTCGATCGCCTCCATACACGATTTGCCACGCCGAATTTCCAAATTAGTTGGAAAGACTGTTTCATCATTTGTGCAATGAACACAGAAAATTCAGATTTAATAAACGAAATATAGGTATAAAATCGTATGTGTTTCAAATGTTATTTTAATTAAAATTGAAACTTCACCTCTCTGCATAGACATATGAAAAAAGTACCTATCACTGAACAAATACTCAACAATACTAATCAATGTGTGACAGTAGGAAGGTGTAAAAATTTTGCAAAGAGGTTGGCATATTCATTTGTGATACCTGCCTCGCTATTAACTTAAAACTCAATCCTTAGATGCACCCAGCACGTGCATCTTGCTCTGCCTCTTCATAAATGAGATATATGGATAACTTTTGGGGAAAAAATGATAATATATATTGTTTAAAAGTTATCTATTTTTTAACTTATGAAAATAAAAAAAATAAAATTAATGCTAAGACTCATGAAATTATTTAACTATTGTAAAATTTTTTAAATATTTTAAAACAAATGAAAAAATGGAAAAAATCATTAATCTATTTCATGTTCCAGTCATTTTTTAATATATTTTATTATTTAAACATCAAATAAACATTGTCGTATTTGAAACTTTAAACTCTTCACTTATTACTTATTTTTCATATATAGATATCTCAAAAATATTTTTTTAACATCGAATGAGACAGTACTGTCCCACTTTTATTGTTAAAAAACATTTTCATTTGCAATTCAAGTTTTATTTCATCTGCAGCCCGATTTTGAGAGTAGTTTAGAGGTGCGATCACCTAAGGCCTAAGTTTAAAAGAGAGTCCAAAGTAAAAATCGTATCCTACTTTGACTTAAAAAAAAATTCAGCTCTTATAATTTACAGTTGGAAAAAATAGAAAAAATAAAAAAGATTTTCTAATTTCTCGCATCTCACTTGCTATAAACGTTCGACTCATTAACTTCTGGAAACTCAAAACTTTATTTAATTACAAAATTTTACTATTCTTAACCTTTAAAAAATTAAATAGTTATTAAGTTTGTCAAATCTTCATATTGTTATCTAAATATTTTAATTACTTATAGAATTTATTTTACAGTTCCGGTGATTATATCATGAATTGAAAGAAGTTTTTTTAGAGTTAAAGTTAATCAAAACCTACCTAAAGTCATCAATGTCACAAGATACGTTGAATGGTCTCATAATTTTGTCAATTGATAAAGAATTTTTAAAAAATATTAATGTTAATATTATCATTAATAATTTTGCATCTCAGAATGCTTGTAGAACATATTTTTTTATAATTTTTTATATTTAATTATAACATAGAAGTTGTTTGAATAAAAAATATTTTTTTTATAATTTTATTAGAAAAAAATATAGTCACTTTAAAAAACGTATTATTTTAATAAAATTATTAATATATACTTTTATTTTGTTTATTATATTTTATAATTTTTTTAAGAGACTCTAATTTCCTATTTTTTGATCTCAAAAAAGGTCAAGAACGACCCTATTCATCTGTACACAATCTATATTGCTCCAACAAAAGTTAGCAAGCGACATCCTCAGGAGAAACTTGAACTGACATAAAGAAGAATAGTCGCAACAATTTCCTTAATACAAAATGAATTAACTATTTTTAAGTGTCAATAAATATGGCTTTGTATTCTATAGAGGCACTTATAATTTATTCAATAATTAAAAAAAAGTTCTTTAAATTTTTTTAATGACGTTACTCATTTGTGCAAATTAGGCAACGCAGATGCTTATTCTTGGTGTCATAAATATTTGAAGGAGACAGAAAACTTACGCGGCACATGTGTCGGAGTCGTTCATTTTTATAATATCGCGAGATTCTTTCTGATCCTTATACCCAATATATGTGGAATAGATATCTCACATTTTTCTTTTTAATTTTTAAAAAACAATGTTTAAAAATATTGTGTAAGTAAATATTTTTAGATGGACAGAGACTTCAAACGTTGCTTCCGAAAGTTAATGATGTTAAACCAACCAACATCCCTTTTGCTCGCTTGAATCCCATTTATTGTTTTAAAGTTAAGTAAAATTAATTTTAATAGTATTGATTTTGAACCATTAAAAATAAATTAAAGTGTTTTGAATTTTTTTCATTAGAAAGAAGAAAAAATATTTCTTAATGAGAAAAAAAAAACTGCTGCGGAAACCACAAAAATAACCCATAACATAAGGCTTTTTTTTGGCAATGTTGTGTAGTAATCGAATTTGATGTTTCGATTCCACAGCAAAGGTAGAATGTCGCTCGTGAAGTAACATAGAAGGCATAAACATATATAAATTGATGACCCAATAACATGTTTTCAAATGTGCATAAAAAATTGTACAATTGGATTAATATAGAAGAGTATACTGTAAAACTTTGTTCATTGACACCGGGGACCCATGAGAAAAATAACCCTTTAATTTTTAGGAACAATTCAATAGATCGAAACTAAAATTGACACCAATGGTATGATTTACCAACCAAAAGCTAGTCATTGCGGAGAAGAAAATAAAACCAAAACTAACTACACATTTTTAGTTGCTCCATTGCCCAGCTCAACTCCATTGCCATAATCATCATGCTCGACGAATCTGGACCAATATGGGTGTGACTTCCAAACCTTGGACATTTCTTCAATTGGAATGCCCTTAGTTTCGGGCAAGAAGAAGTAGATAAAGAATGTCATGATCAACACGAAGAAGGCAAAGAAGATGAACAAGCCAAACTTCATGTGGCATAACATGGTCAAGAAGACTTGTGCAACAAGGAATGTGAAGAGCATGTTCACCGACACATTGATACTTTGAGCAGCCGAACGAATCTCTAAAGGAAAGATCTCACTAGGCACCAACCAACCAAGGGGACCCCATGACCAGGCAAACCCTGATACGTAAATGCAAATGAAGAGAACCACAACAACTGCATACCACTTTGGCAAATCACCAGGGTTCCCATCAATTCCAAACTTTGCTCCAATAGAAGCTGCAACTATAGCCTGTGTACACCATCACACACATTTCATTAGCTATACATCACTCACACACTAAAAAAAAAAAGCAATGCACTTGTAGAATGTATAATTAAAAATGTACATTTTCGATTAAAGCAAAAGGGTACCTGGCATATGAGCATCTGAACACCCCCTTCCAGGAAAAGGGCTCTCCTACCCCACTTATCAACTCCATAAATTGAGACACATGTAGCAACAACATTAACAAGGCCAGTGATCACAGCAGACATTAGAGCAGCATCACTCTTAAACCCAATTGAATTAAAAAGCACAGGCGCATAAAACATGATGACATTGATTCCAGTAAGTTGCTGGAAGAACGGGATCAATATGGCCATAGTAAGGTGTGGTCTGTACTTTCTTTGCAACAAATTCCTCCATGGGTGCTCCACTTGCCTTGAAGCTTCACTAGCTGCCACAAGGTCATTGAACTCTTCTTCGACATCTTCCACTCCACGAACTCTCTGGAGCTGAGCCTTGGCTGCATCACGATCACCCCTTTCAATCATGGAATTGGGAGTGTCGGGAAGGACCAATGATCCAATTGTAATTATGAGGGCAGGGACCATAGCACCACCCAAACTCAACCTCCATCCCCAACCACCTTTGATTTTGGCGAAGAAGTAGTTCAACACATTGGCCACAAGTATACCAATTGTGATTGACAATTGGAAACCAATATTCAAAGCCCCTCTATATTTGTAAGGAGCCATTTCAGATAGGTAAAGTGGCACAGACTGTTCATCACAAATAAATTAACAAGTCAAACTAAAATACGATGAATAACAAGCAGTATAAAATCAATACATAGACGTAGAAATGATTAATTAAAAACCAGTTCACACAGTGTTGTGGAATTTATTTAAAAAACATAGTAGTGTTAGTGTAGGACCACGGGGTCTTCTCAACTTGTAGCGTTTATTTGGAGGGATAACGTGGAAAACAGAAGCGTGCAATTAAAATATTGACTTAGATTTTTAATTTGATAAGTCCAAATTTTAAATTCAACGCCGTAGAAAATGATGTAAAGCAACATGGGAATACGAAGTGAGGATGTCACATGCAAAGAAAAACGAGGCACAATAATTAAGCCACTGTTAATAAAATAGTGAGAGCAAGCTCGATTTGTGTCCTAATCCAGCTATCACTCTCGATCCATGTTGAAGATAAAATAAGGGTGAAAATTCTTTCCTTTTCATAGCAACCAAACAAGTGCAATTTGTAGAGTTTCAAAAGGCAGGGAGTCGAAATAAGTCTATATCATAGGTAGTGGCAAGAAAAGGCCCCAAAATACCGTAATGTGGAGAGAAAACAATAGTTGCGGTCGACGCGACTTTTGGACTGAATAAAAATATTTACATTCATATCCAATGAATGGCTTCAAATTGAGTAACTGTTATATTTACTGTGTGTCAGCAACTTTCTGCGAAAGGATTTCTCTTTCTGTCAGACTAAATTAAACGTACCCCGTAAAAAACGAAATATAATTTATAAAGAGATCTGGGAAAGAGGTCCAGTATCAAAGAGTTGAAAAATAGTGCTAAACAGACAAATTAAACGACAACACGTCTTCATTATTCAATTATTAATGAAAAAAACTGAACCAAAACGGCAATGAAGGAATCATATCAAAAGCACGATGAGAATGGTTGTTTCAGATTTTGACTTGCTATCTGGCCTGGACACTACACGGCCAGAGAATATCGGAGACATGCCCATCACGTTTTCGTGTTGTTATCCAATCAAATAAAGACTTTTAATTTTAATACACAGTAAGTTAAAAATTTTAACATTTTAATTATTAAGTATATTTGCTTATACAACAATATAAAAAATTGGTATTTAATATTGAATTAAATTAAAATAAAATAAAAAGAAGGAAAAATGAAAACCTGATTGGCGAATCCGATACCGAACCCGAGCAAGATCCGACCCACGATCAACATCCAAACGTGTTGGGCAAAACCGTTGATGAGAGCACCGATGAGGAAAAGCACGCCTCCGAAAAGCATGGAGAGTTTCCGACCGAAATTACGCGTGATGCTGGAGGCAACCAACGACGACAGCAACGCAGCCAGGTACAGCGACGACGTGAACATCGTAAGTGTCTGGCTGTCGTATTGACAGTACTGGTTTGTCGTTTTGTCGAGGTTCTTTTTCCGGTACACCGACGGAAAAAACTTCAACAGAAACGGATCCATGGACGTCACCCCACCTAATCACACCCCACACATTAAAAGACATAACGTTGTAAACATATAAAACCCAGATTAAAATAAAACATGTAGCATAACACTAGTGTCGAAAATTGAGTACCAGAAATCCCAATATCGTAACCGAAGATCAAGCCACCCATGGCTGCAACGATGCATGTTACGGTGACAAAAGGAGTGAGGTTCCCAGGGTACTCCTTGTTCCCCCCACTACTTATTCCTCCTACCGCAGGCATTTTCTCTCCTTGTTCTTTCTGACTTCAATTGGAAAGAAATTACGATTCTCAGAGAAAGAGCAATAGAAACAAGATGGAGCTTTTAGAAGGGGTGCGGCAAGTGTTTATATAGAAGGAGATCTTCCTTCATTTCTTCAATCCTCATCATCCGTTGAGCTGTCAATGATGATATTATATGCTTATCAATAAAATGTAATTTTAATTTTAATTTTAATTTCACATGATGTCATTTTTAAGAAACTATAAAGGTTAGCTGGTATCGGCTATATAATCCTTTTTATTTCTTTTACCTTTACTGTTATAAGCATCTCTATCTTCTGAACAATGTTATCTCCTAAAAGAGTTTAAACGGGTTTAGTAAAAAAGTAAAAGTATTTAAAACTTCACTAGTAATCAATGCGTTGTTAGAGTAATTCATTCTAGTATTTATATTTACCAACTAATAATCAATATTTTTAAAACTATTAAGGACGAAATTTTTTTATTTAATGTATTTTAATTATTAGAAGCATTTCTTTTTTTGTACTTTAGCGTCTTATCTTATTTTATCTCTCGCGTAGATTCTTTCTTATCAAAATTTAAAATGATAAAGTTACGTTTATCTCTATTTAATATTTAAGACAAAGAGGTACAGATAATCTATATATACGTGAGACGATCCGCTCCTCCTTTTACTATCGCATTTATTATCTTTTTAATTTTCATTTCTTTTGAAGTTTGCTTTATTTAACAAAATATCAATGAAAAAACAAATCTAGTAATCAGTGTGTTTATAAAAACTGAAAATTAAAAAAAAAGAAAGAAAAAATGGTTTTTGGAATATAAAAAAGTATTTAATATCTTTATTTTACTATTAAAAACATAACGTGTGTGAGTATTAAAAAAAAACACAAAAAGTGTGATGATTTAATAAGGGTTTTGTCGTGTTATTTAAAAAATTCATCTTAATTTAAATTATAAGTTACATTAAAATTGAGTTAGTTTAATCTGCTTATCACATGAATTAAATTAATTGGTTTCATTGGGTTTTGATTACTTAATGATGTTGAAACATTCTTTATGCAAAAATTATCCAATAGTAATGTTTGAATTGAGAAACAATTGTATTTTAGAGTACTATTCTTTCTCTATTACGAAGTATACTTAGTAAAGAAGAGTCTTCCTAATATCCTTCCTCGTCACATTGACTACAAAGAGAAAATATATGTAGCTCCGGGATTATTAGTGTGATCTCTTTGTGATGAAGTAGCCTTAGATGACCACCGTTGGATGAGCCGACAAAAATGAAATTCAAGGCCACAGTATAATGGGAAACGGACGATGATCACAGAAGTTTTTAAGCACTTTATATTGCCAAAATTTTGAACAGCCTTAGAAGATTTCTCTTTATGCAATCGAAAATCCGAAGTGGTTTTCAAATTTGTAAGTTATACAGTTGGTGGATTTCACACGTCAGATAATACACAGATTTGGGAGGGGTTGTGTTGTGTGCGCATATTAAATGATAAATGGATTGTTTTCATGAGATTCTATTTATTAGAGGGATGTGTGGGTGCCGAGTCAGCCGTTATATAGGGAAGAAAAGTGGTAATTAGATAATTGGTTTTATCCAGTGTGGAGTATAAGGAAAGGGTTTGGGGTGGCATTGGATAATGTCGGATTAATTGAAGGGGCAGTTGATGATGTCGGTGTTCGACTCAAAAGTAGTCGTTGGGAGGATGAGGATGCGTGACTTCCATTCCCTTTACACCAAACTTGAATCAATCTATCCCCTTCCCAGTCTATACAAACCCACTCAATCTTATGTTCGTTTCTCATATTGCTTCAGATCTGCATTTAATTTTTAACATTTATAAATATTAATTTTATAAAATATTTTATTTTATTGTATTTTTATTATTATTTTATGTCAAAGCAATTCAAATGAATATTATTTTAATAAACAAACAGGTTATTATACTGTTTTTCTGTACACAACAGTTGCATTATTAATTTTTTTATATTTTCTAAAAATATAATTTAAATATAAAAATATATCTATCATGTATTCTATTTAATTGACAATGTAAATATTAGTTAAGAGATTAAACATTATGATGCTAAAAACATAAACTTATTTAATGCCTATCTTTTTAGGTAATTACTAACATTTAAGAGAAAATATTTAATATATTCACTATAAAATTAGCATTTATTAACAAACAAAATTTGTCACGTTTTAAGACAATGATTTTTACTATAATCCTTGTCTAATAAAACAGAAATTATTTTTTTAACATATTTAACATTACACAAAATAAAAAAATTATATATGATATAACTTTCACATTTATTTTTAATCTCAATTTATCATAAAAATTAATTGTTATATTAATAAATTGTTTAATATTACATTAAATATATTTTTATATCATCCTTGCACATTGGTTGCATCTAATTAACATAATATCTACAAAATTCAGTTAATTTATTTTAACCTTGCTTAAGTAAAATTTACAGAAAAAATTATTTATGAATAAATATTGCTTAAGCGGTAATGAATTTGCTTAAACAAAATTATTATTAGCATAATTGAAATTTACTTAGCTTAAATAAATTGTGCAAATACAAAAATTTTATAATTTTAGCTTAATTAATAAAAAATAACTTAAGTGAAAATTAACAAAATTTTATGTATCTATCACTATATAAAATTAGTTTAAATAAATATTATATAACTTAAGCAAAATTTACATAGAATAATTTTTTTTTAGTATTCAATCATATCTTTTTAATTATTATCTTTATTATGATATAATTAAGATATTTGTTGTTAAAAGAATTGAGATTAGTATATGATATTTTTAAACTTAATTGGTTTTACTTATAAAAATAATAGTTCAAAGTATAATAATAGAAAAAGAGTATAGTTATTAAATTTAAAAAATAAATTTACATACAATAAGAGACAAATAAAGAGAAATTGAAAAAAAAAATTATGATACTATTATAATCGATGATTATTTAATTTCATTCAATTCTTTATCTTGAATGTCTCTTTAAGACTTTTAATCTTAAATTTCTAATAACTTAAAGAACTTATTTTAAATATATAATATTTTGATAAAAAAAAGTTAGCAACACTCTTTAATACTCTGTATTTTTTTGTTAAAATTTATTAAAAATTAAAAAAATGAATGAAACATTAATTTAAAAGTGAAAAAAAGTAATATCCACATAAATTTTATAATTTTTAATAAATTTTAGTCGACAATATTAAGTATTACCAACCAATAATATGTTACTAACATTACTCATTTTAATAATATCTTTAACTTATAAAAGTTATTTAAAATTAAAATATAAATATTATAACTTTTAAAATTTATCATAACATATTGTTTTATTAATTTATTTATAAGTCATATAATACTTAATTCACCTTATTTATTACTTTTATTTTAACTAATAATTAAAAATACATTAAGAAGAGTGTGTTGTTAATAGTATTAATACACAAAATTACGTTAACATTTGCATTTTTATATAAAAAAATTAATCTTATATATCTTTTTATTCAATGTAATCTTCCATAAGTTGGATATTTTTTTTAAAGCATAAATTTTAGAGATTTATACTAATAAATAATTTATTATACTAACATTTAATATTTTGATAATATAAATAATATTTTTATAAACAAAATTATTTGTTAGTATAATGTATCATATTATTAGTATCAATTTTTCAAAATAATAATAATTATTATATTTTTTATTAAATAAATACTTTACTAACAAAAGTTGTCTTAAGACTTAATTCTGTTTTGATAAATAACATTTTTAATGACTTTTACCTATTCACCTCCTACATACTATAAAAGCTATTTTTCATGTAAATTTTATTTACCATCGCTCAATTAAGATTAAAATATAATAAATAATTTTTTAATAAAAATATGATGGTGTAAATATATTTTTGACAAACTAAAATATTATATATAATTTTTTAAGACCATTAATTATACGAATTTCCCTCATTTTTTTTATTAAACTAAACATTATTAGAATGTTGATTTAAAAAATTATTTAAAGTTGCATGTTTAAGAACTTTCTATATATATAAAAAATTACTCATTCAACAATTAAAGATAAAGTTCTGATAAAGTTGTTAAAGTTTATCAAGTATTATAGAATTTAAAAATAATTAACAATTCATTATACAATATAATATATATATATATATATATATATATATATATATTATAATACTATTTAAAATATAAACAATATTTTTAATTAAGCATTGTTTAGATTAGATAAAATTTAATTCCCATGATCATTATAATAATATCACGTAATTTAAATGTTATATTGATAAATTTTACATAATTTAACACTTATTTATTAATTTTGTCCTGTATATAATTTTTAAAAAAATAATGGGAGAATCAATTGCAGCAAAATAGACCAATCTCTTAAAAAAAAAAAAGAAAAAAAACTAGGTTGACTTGTTTAAGAGCAGCCTAGAAATATTAGCTGAATAAGTATACAGCTCAACCCCCTCCATTCAAAGCTGGCTAGAAAATGGATCAACTTGTTCAGAAGTGAGCAAAAAAATTATTAGTCAATCATTATGATTGCCTAAATATTTGATTCAAACCTATATTTGATAAATTTATCAATAAATACGTATAGAAGTAAACATTAAATAATTTAAATAATCAAATTTATTCTATAAATTAAAATTAAATTATTTTTTATTTTATTTTTAAAAATTTAAACAAACTATGTTACTTTTAACTTATTTTATATGAGTTTTATTCATTTTTTATATTATTTTTTCTTAAAAATTTATTTAAAAATTTACCTAAATTAAACCTAATTATATTAAAATAATGAAATGGGTTGATTATAATTTTTAAATACTATTAAATTTGTTTTTATTTAAACAAAATTACCGTACATACAAGCAAGGATATTAAAAATTAGATGAATTATTGAACATTTACTAAACTAATGGTTTTTTTTTTATAAACTATACTAGTATTTCTATTATCAATAACAATATTCTGTTTTATTAAATAAAAAATAAATTACAAAAGTTATATTAAGATTGACTTAAACAATAAATATAAAAGAAAGTCAATAATTAGGATTCAAGGAGC